CCTGAAGAAATCATGTTTTCCACTGGAAATGTTAAGGTTTTAGTTTTTCTTTTATGGTTCTAAAAGGGAATGCAGTTTGAACAAGCTTTTGACACAAAAATACTTGTGACTTACTTACTGCAGGAAGAAGACCTTCGTCAGATCTTCGTGTTAACTGTAGAAGTCCTGCAGGAGTTCAGCAGGCGGGAGAACCTCAGTGCTCAGATGTCCTCGGTGTTTCAGCGCTACCTCGCACTCGCCAATCAGGTCTTGAGCTGGAACTTTCTTCCTCCAAATTATATCCTTTAACTACTGAGCAGATGGTAGTTATGGCTGAAAGTACCTTGTCTCTGTGGTTTGTAAAACATGTTAAAAGAAAATAAGTGTTTTTATTTATTTATCTTTTTATTTTGAAAATAAGTGTTTTTAAAGAGTGGAATTTAATTTATAACACACAGTGCAGTGGGCTACTTAGAAGATTTAAAGTTACATTTACAACTTTGAGAAGTAGGTTGACTGACTAGGAAACTTGGCTGGGTGTTGGGACTCTCGTTTCCTGGAGGAAGGGGGTGACTCTCAGGCAGGGAGATGGGGAGATGGGGATTGCGTTTCTATCAAGCAGCTGGGTCACTCTCTCTCTGTGGAATGTAATGACTTGGGTTTTTAAATTTTTTTTTTTATCCTCACCCAAGGGCATTTTTTTCCATTTTTTGTTCAGATAGAGTGGGAGGGAGGGAGAGAAAGAGAGAGAAACATCAACGTGAAAGGGACACATCGAGTGGCTGCCACCCACACAACCAACCAGGGCCGAGGACAAACTGCAACCGAGGTACGTGCCCTTAGCGGGAACCGAACCCAGGTCTCTCTGGACCGCAGGCTGACGCTCTAACTGCTGAGCCAAACCGGCCAGGGCATGACTTGGGTTTTTAAATTGTCTTTCCTTAAGTCTAGTTTGGTTTCCCTAACTTGATATTTTTGAATTTTTACCCGAGGATATGTTTAAAGAGAGGGAGAGAGAGAGGGAGAGAAACATCAGTGTGAGAAACCTTGATCAGATGGCTCCCATATTTGCCCTGACTGCTCCCTGACTGGGATCAAACTACAACCCAGGTATGTGCCCTGACCAGGAATTGAACCCTCTGCCTTTCAGCACACTGGATGACATTCCAACCAACTGAACCACCTGGACAGGACTCTAACTTGATTTTTTTTTTTATTCCTCACCAAAGGATACTTTTCGGAACCATAGGCCAACGCTCTAACCGCTGAGCCAAACCAGCCAGGGCCCAAGGATACTTTTCTGTTTATCATTAAATAGAGTGGGAAGGAGGGGGGTGGGGGAGAGAGAGAGAGAGAGTGAGAGAGAGAGAAACGTCGATTTCATAGAGCCACATCGACTGGTTGCCTCCTACACGACCAGACCAGGGCTGGGGACGAACTGCAACTGAAGTACGCGCCCTTGACCAGAATTGAACCCATGACTTACTGGTCCGCGGGCTGACTCTAAGCGCTGAGCCAAATTGGCCGGTGCTCTAACTTCATTTTTATGGTGACGATATTGTTCAAGGGTAGATAATAAGGTAGTTATGTTTATTCTTCGAAGATTTTTTCAAGAAAGATATGAAAATTTTATTCCTAGCAAATTCTTTATTAGTAATACAAAAGCAATTTAAGTGGGTTAGATTTCAGCTATAAATATCTGCCCTTTTTATTTATTTATTTATTTATTTATTTATTTTTGGTTAATCCTCACCAGAGGACATTTTTGCATTTATCTTCAGACAGAGTGGGAGGGAGGGAGAGGGGAAGAGAGAGAAAGAAACATCGATGTGAGAGAGACACATCGACTGGTTGCCTCCTGTATGACCCCAACTGGGGCGGGGACAAATTGCAACCGAGGTACGTGCCCCTAGCGGGAACCGAACCTGGGACTCTCTGGTCCTCAGGCGGACACTCTTAAATGCTGAGCCAAACCGGCGTGGGCAGCAGCTCCTTAGTTTAAAGTTAATTTGCTCTTTTGGAACATTTGCTGCCCATCAGTGGATTGAAGGCAGTGCTGCCCAGTGGCTCTCATTTGTGTCATACTGAGTCAAACATATCTAAGATCAGTCTCAGCTGATTGAGGGCAAAGTACTAAACCTCTCTGAGTCTCAGTTTACCAAATGTGAAACGGAGATGTGGATTGTTAGGTGGATTAAATGAAACAATACATTTCTGTCACTCAGGAGTTAGCCAGTATTTGTTGAGCTCCTAATAGTCTCCTTGAATAAAGAAGTTCATCAGCTAGGTGCCTGTGAATTCTCTTCTGTATTGATCTGACATGCTCCCTGTAGTGCAGGAAATTACAGTAAGTTTAATTTAACCTGTTCTAGATGTCTTGAATTAACCCTCTCCCCAAGGCAGTTATGGTGAATTGCTGCTTTGTGGAGCATAACTTAGAGCAGGTTTGCCTCTTAATCTTTGATCTCTGATCATCTTTCTCCCTTACAATCAATTTTATATCTTCTTTATGTATGTATTTTCATGGGTTGTTAAGAAGCACATTTTCCTAGGTGTAGTTTAAAAAAAATTTTCCCTTTGTGTATTGCAATATAATCTTTGCTTCTGCTTTTGTTAGTTTAAAAAAAAAAAAGATGTTGAAAAACTTTGAGACAGATTTACAAAGTAATAGGACATATGGAGCTATCAAAACATTAATTATATTATATTGCCCAGGCCAGTTTGGCTCAGTGGGTAGAGCATTGGCCCTCAGACTCTGAAGGGTTGCGGGTTTGATTCCTGGTCAAGGGCCTGTACCTGGGTTATAGCTTTAATCCCCCCAATGCCAGTCAGGGTCATGCAGGAGGCAGCCAATGGATGAGTCTCTCTCACATTGATGTTTCTCTCTTTTTCCCCCCTTTCTCCCTTCTACTCTTGTCTAAGAATCAATGGAAAAATATCCTTGGGTGAGGATTAACAAAGAAAATTTATTTCAAAAATCCCAATTCTGGTCAGGCCGGTATGGTTCAGTGGTTGAGCATCTACCCATGCACCAAGAGGTTGCTGGTTCGATTGCTGGTCAGGACACATTCCCAGGTTGTGGGCCAAATACCTAGTGCGGGGCATGGAGGAGATGGCCAGTCGATGGTCTCTCACATTGATGTTTCTCTTTTTCTCCTCTCACTTCCTCTCTCTAAAAAATCAATAAAGGGAAAGTTTTTAAAAAAAAAATCCCAGTTCTGACATAATTTCTGATTTTAGCAATTACTCTGAGGTCTATTCAATCTTGAGGGGAGACTGGAATAAATATTTGGCTTTGTACTTTGAAGAGGGTCTAATGACTAAATTTAACAGTTAATATATACAGGGGTGGGGCAAAAGTAGGTTTACAGTTGTGAATACATGAAACATTTTATTCTTGTATTTTTAATTTATTATATTATTTTCCATATAAACCACTGTAAACCCACTTTTGCCCCACCCTGTATTAATTTGGTGGCTAAAAATAAAAAAGGTTTGTCTTATAGGATAGACAGATGAATAGCAAATACACCCTATAAAATAATGTTGTATATTTTGTATCAAATATATTGGATCGTTTAGAATGGTGCCATGTTAAATGAGGCTGTGTTAAATTATCAGTATCAATTCTTATTGATAATTTTTTGTAATCCGCTTTTTTGTATCTTTTTATTTTGATGTAATTTTAAACATACAGTAGTAGTTCAAAGAATTGCCATATGCCCTTTACCAAAATTCACCAATATTAACATCTTATCCCATTTATTTTTCTTTGCCTTAGACATACCCACACACACCCAACACGCCCACACACACCCAACACACACTCATGCACGTTTGTACACTTTTATGCAGATATTTAAACTCATTCTTACTTTCTAACCATTTGAGAGCAGTTGTAGATATTATACCCATTTACCTCTGAATACTTCTCTGTAGATTTTCCTGTGAGCAGGAATTTTGAAATCTGTAGTTGTTATAGAATGTCATACAAAACTATAGTATGTTTTCAAAATCAAGAAATTAAATATGAATATAATATCGGATCTACAGTCCATATTCAAGTTTTGTCCGTGGTCTCGGTAATGCCCTTTGTAGCTGTTCTCAGTACATTGTGTTTACTTGTCCTAAGTCATCTTTGGTCTAGAACAGTTCCTCAGCTTTTCTTTGTTTTTCATGAATTTGATGTATTTGAAGAGTATTAGTCAGTTTCTTTTATAATGTTCCTCAGTTGATTTCCTTGCGATTAGATTCAGATTGCTCACTTTTTGTAGGGCTAGACACAGTAATGCTATTGTGTCCTTCTCAGTACTTTATGTCAGGAGGCCCATGGTGTCAGCCTGTCCCATTGGGGGAGTGTCCATGTTGATCACTTGGTTAAGGAAGTGTTTTCCAAGTTTTTCTTCCCCTCAAACCTATAGCAAGTACTGATCTTTACTCTGTTCCATAGTTTTGTCTTTTCCTAAATGTTATGTAGTTGGAATCAGACAGCATGTTGTCTTTCGTGTTGGCCTTTCTCCCTTAGTAACATGCATTTAAAGTTTCTCCATGTCTCTTCAAGGCTCGATAGCTCATATGTTTTTATCACTGAATAATATTCCATTGTCTGGATGATAGTTTACTTATCCATTCACCTATGGAAGGACATCTTTTTTGTTTTTTCTTAGTAACAAGAATGTTTATTTAACTGGAGCCATCAGCAGACTCCATGGTCTTTACCAGTCCTAAGGCCACTGACCCTTTTTTTTTTCTATACCAGAATCATTGGTTTAAGGCAAGGATGGGAGGACATGAGGACATGATGAACCAAATCCAAGCAGAGGACGTGTGGCATGGCAGAAGACTGAGCTGTTCTTCTAGTCCAGTCCTGGGGCAGTCCAAGAACCCTCCAGCCATCTCTGAGCCAATGTAGTTCGAGGGCAGTTGTGATCCTTGTCCTTGAATGGGAAAGATCCAGCACATGCCAAGCCCAGGTCTGTCCCCACAGATCCATTGCTCACTGGGGCATAGCAGAGCTGAGGTCAGGTATCTAGTGTCTTGCTGTGTTTCAGCTCCTTGAACTTCTCAGCTAGGGCCAATTGGCGCTCTTCAGATTTCTTGAGGAAGTACAGACGATGGCCCTGCTGGGCCTGATGGCGCGGCTCCTGCTTCAGAGCCAGGCACCGCTCCTTCTGCCACGTTCAGTCCTCCTGGGCCATTTCTTGCTGCTCCATTCACTGAAGTGGCTGCTGCAGTTCCGCATGCTCCTCCCTCTGAACAGTGCTTCTTCAGTTGCTTTTTCACAAGTTCTTTCTCTTTGGCTCGGATGTCATTCAACACTTCCACGATTGTATTCCCCTGACAAATCGTCAAAACAGGAGTCCCAGACTACCTTCTTCTTACTGATGGGGACAACTTGATACAAAAATGGCACCCAACTTTGACATTTCCAAAGGCCTGTGCTTATCTGCAATATATCCATTTTGGATTGGTGGTCTAGAACCTTGCTTCTTAGGGCTGTTCCCAGCTGCCAATTGTTTGTATGTCTTAGTCCCCACTTGGCTCTGCAATTCCAGTGGCTCCTCAAATGACATGTTAGATGTGTCTTTCTGCAGGTCCCTGGGCACCAGGTTCCCACTGTCTTCCCCACCATTCCTGGCTTTCGGGGAGTCAGTGGCTGCCCAGGCATGGAGCTTTCTCTTGGCATTGGCCTGGAAGGACTTTTTTTAAAAATCCTCATCTGAGGTTATTTTTACATTTATCTTCAGACAGAGTAGGAGGGAGAGAGAGAAACATAGATTGGTTGCCACCTGCACAGTTGGGGCCGTGGACGAACTGCAGTGGAGGATCATATCCTTGACCGGAATTGAACCTGGGACTCTGGTCTGCAGGCCATGCTCTAACCACTGGGCAAAACCAGCCAGGAAGGATATCTTGATTGCTTCCAAGTTTTGGCAATTATGAAAAACCACCCACATGTAGGTTTTTGTGTGGACATAAATATTTCATCTCCTTTGGGTCAATACCAAGGAAGCACAGTTGCTGGTAAGAGCATATTTAGTTTTACCCTGGCAGGTTTGGCTCAGCAGTTAGAGCGTCGGCCCGCGGTCCACAGAGACCAGGGTTTGGTTCCCGCTAAGGGCATGTACCTCGGTTGCAGTTTGTCCTCGGCCCCGGTTGGGGTCATGTGGGTGGCAACCACTCTATGTGTCTCTCTCACATCGATGTTTCTCTCTCTCTCTCTCTCTTCATCTCTCTCCTTCCCACTCTATCCGAACAAAAAATGGGAAAATGTCCTCAGGTAAGGATTTAAAAAAAAGAGTATATTTAGTTTTATAGGAAACTGCCAAATGTTTACAAAGTGGCTGCATCGTTGGAATCCACCAGCAGGTGAGGGTTCCTATCGCTCTGCATCCTCAGCAGCATGGGGTGATGTCAGTGCTCTGGATTTGGGGCGTTCTGATAGGTGTGCAGTAGTCTCTCATTGTAATTTGCACTTCCCTCACGACACGCGGTGAGGAGTGTCTTTTCATGTGCGTGTCTGCACCTGTGCATCTTGTTGTGCGTGTCTGCGCCTGTGCATCTTGTGCGTGTCTGCGCCTGTGCGTCTTGTTGTGATGTCTGCGCCTGTGCATCTTGTGCGTGTCTGCGCCTGTGCATCTTGTTTGTATCTTCTCTACATCTTCTTTGGTGAGGTGTCTGTTAAAGTCTTTGGCCCATTTTTTAATCAGGCTGTTTATTTTCTTATTGTTGAATTTTATTTTTTGTATATTTTGAATAAGTCTTTTATCAGAAATATGTTCTGCAAACATTTTCTTCCAGTCTAGCATATCATCTTATTCTCTGGACATTGTCTTTCACAGAGCAAAAGTATTTGATTGTAATGAAATTCCGCCTACTAATTCTTTCATGATCACACCTTTTGTGTTATATCTAAAAATCGTTGCCAAACCCCTATCAAGGTCACGTAGTTTTTTTCTCATGTTATCTTCTAGGGATATTATTAGTTTTGTGTTTTATATTTAGGCCTATGATCCATTCTGAGTTTATATTTATGAAGGGTATAGGACAAGGTTTGTGTCTAGATACTCATTTCTTACATGTGGATGTCCAGTTGCGGCACCATTTGTTGAAAAGACTATTATTTCTACATTGTGTTGCCATTGCTCTTTTGTCAAAGATCCTTTGACTACATCTGTGTGGGTCTGTTTCTGGGCTCTCTATTCTGTGTCACTGAATCTATCTTCTGTTCTTTTGTTAACAGTACATTGTCTTGATTACTATTGCTTTAAAGTAAATTGGAGTTGTATCAGTTCTTAGACTTTGTTCTTGTCCTTAAGGTCATAAAGATTTTTTTTTTTTTTTTATTCTCACCCGAGGACATTTTTCCATTTTTTGTACAGATAGAGTGGGAGGGAGAGAGAGGAAGAGAGAGAGAGAGAAACATCAATGCGAAAGGGACACATCGAGTGGCTGCCACCCGCACGACCAACCAGGGCCAGGGACAAACTGCAGCCGAAGTACGTGCCCTTAGCGGGAACCGAACCCGGGCCTCTCTGGACCGCAGGCGGACGCTCTAACCGCTGAGCCAAACCGGCCAGGGCCATAAAGATTTTTTTTTATCCTCACTTGAGGATATTTTTTCATTAATCTTCAGATAGAGTAGGAGGGGGTGAGGGAGGGAGGGGGAGAGAAAAGAAGAGAGAGAGAGAAACATCAGTGTGAGAGAGACACATCAACTGGCTGCCTCTTGAACAACCCTGACAGGGCTGGGGACCAAACCGCAACTGAGGTATGTGCCCTTGACTAGAATTGAACCCACGACTCTTTGGTATGTGGGCTACCACTCCAGCAGCTGAGCTAAACCAGCCAGGGCAAGGTCACAAAGATTTAATCTTTATTTCTTCTAAGCGTTTTATAGTTTTAGCCCTTACATTAGTTCTGTCATCCATTTTAAATTTTTTTGTGTGTACAGTATAAGTAAGGATCCAATTTGTGTAAAATCACCTGACTGTAAATGTAATGGTATATTTCTGGCTTCTGAATTCTGTTCTATTGGTTTGAATTTATGCCAGTACCACACTGTCTTTTTTTTATTATTATTAAAAAAATTTTTTTTCTTCATTGATTTTAGAAACAGAGGAAGGGAGAGGGAGAGAGATAGAAACATTGATGAGAGAGAACATTGATTGGCCGCCTCCTGCACGCTCCCCACTGGGAATCAGGCCCACAACCTGGGCATGTGTCCTGACCGGGAATCGGACTGGTGACCTCTTGGTGCATGGTTGATGCTCAACCACTGAGCCACACCTGCTGGGCCACACTGTCTTGTTTATTGTAGCTTTGTAATAAGTTTTGAAATCAGGAAGTGTGAGTCCTCCACCTTTGTTCTTCTTTAAGGTTATTTTTTCTTCTTTGCATTTTCACATGAAATTTAGGATCAGTTTCTATTTCTGCAAAAAAAAAGGGCACCTGATATTGTGCACAGGGATTGTGTTGAGGCACAGATCAATTTGGGAATGTTGCCATGTTTGATCCATAAGCATGAGGTCTTTTTGTTTATTTAGATCTTTAACTTTTTTCCAACACTGTTTTATAGTTTTCACAGAATAGAAGGTTTAGACTTCTTTTGTTGAATTTATTTCTGAGTATTTTATTCTTTTTAATTCCGTTGTAAACAGAGTTAATTTTTTATTTTCAGATCATTCATTGCCAGAGTATAGAAATAAACATTTTATTTTTGATCTTGTACTATGTAACCTTGCTAAACTTGTTTATTAGCTCAGGTACTATTTTTAGTGGATTTAAATTTCTTTTTTATATACATGATGTGGTCTGCAAACTTTTTTTAAAAAGGATTATTAAATGTAGACTTTGTGTGTGTAGAAGGTGATTTATGTAGTCTCCTCTCCTGTAGACCTGGATGTGGTACAAAGGCTACAGCTCCTGAGATTTGGTGGATGTTAAAGTCACCCTGGCCCAGTGAGCTCATTTCATAGTTATCGTGCCCTGTCTCTCTCTCTCAAAAGAAACTGGATGAAAGCCACCTGCTTTTTATTGTTTTAGGTCACTGCTGTCCAAAGAGAGTGTCCTTGTCCTATGGCCATCATCCCCATTTAAAAATGGGCTCTGAGAGCCTGGATGGTCTGATCTCTGCCTCCCTCTCAAAGCTCTCTTCTGTGCTCTCCCAGTTAGAACTGCACTGCAGGTCCTGTTTCCTTCGCCCTGGCACCTTCACACAGGAATTCTCTCCCTGGGCACCTTGTACCCTTCTGCCTAGTCACCTCCTAATTGCACCTCAGGTGTGTACCCTAGACCAGGTCAGGCTTCTTGTGCTGTGGCTTCTCATATGCGTGTTACATATGCTTTACTTCCACTTGGCTCACTCCTCACTCATTTGTTAGCTGACTTGAATACTACATGTTCACCCACGGGTTTGGGAGCTCACGCAGGCACAGGTCACGCTTTGCTCACTGTATTGCTAGCACCTTGCACAGTGTCTAGCACATAGTAACAGATGTTTAACAGTATGTGTTATTTAATTATTGAGGTGAGGTGTTTCAGAAGTATTATCTCAGTTCTTGGGTATCTGTTTATGCTGCTAATATTGTTTAGCTAGTGGTTCACCTGGTATCCGTGAATGCTTAAGGGTTTTGGCAATGCTCATCATAAATGACAATACCGTTTTGTAATAAGAATGTTTGGCAGGTATGTTTGGTATGTTGGCTTCAGGGATACATCTATTTTTAGTTGGGTTACACTGCCTTTTATTGGTATTCTATTTTTGTGGATCTGATTTGGTTTGGTAAAAAAAAAATTTTACCTTCAATCTCTTGGGGAAAGTTAACTGGATCATAAAATAGTAGTGGGATATAGACGTCTTCACCTAAACTAGGATTTCCTATAAAGTCAGCATTATTATTTGGAGGTAAGGCCTGGGAAAGCCTCCCGGTGAGGTCAGCTCTCCTTTATTTCAGAGGACTTCTGGTTCCTGGTACTAGTGCCGTCTGTGAGATTGGCACATGGCATTTGTGTTATGCCAGACGAGAAGTAGCAGTTTTTGTTACGAAAAACTGGGCTTCCCTTGCTTCTGAAGCTTTGTTTTTATTAATGAGGTAGCATAAAAAGAATATGGGAGGATGGAGAAATTATTTATTACTTTGGTAAAACGTCCATTGTTGCCACAAGCATGTATTGTGAAGTACTTACTATAAGAATTGGCAGTGGGAAATTTCATACTCTTCATATTTGCTTGAGGACAGTTTTTAGATATTATATGGCTCATTTAATTGTCTTTTTGCTGTCATTCACCAGCACAAATGATACCTTACTGAAGATGTTAATAAATGAACAAGAACCCATTGTATATATAAGAACAGGTATATTTCTAAAGATGGCTTTTCCCCCTCATGCTAAGAGACATGTACTTGTGATAATATGGTTTGTTGTCCAAGACTGAAGACCCGGTGTGATTTTTCCAGGACAGTCAGTAGCAGTGTGTGATCAAGCTCCGTCCTTCTGGCTGGGGCCTGGCTGTGCTTGTCTCTGGTCATGCAGCTATGGAGCAGGGCAGGTGCTGTAGTTTGTGTGCCTTTGGCTTCTCAGACGTGGTGAGCTTTCCTAAATGGAAAATGTCAGAGCTAGGTAGGATCACTGTGGCTTGGATATGATACAGTGACAGAAAAATCATCATATTGTAACTCCTGATTCTTGAATTTGGTGAAAACATGGGAAGATGAAGTACGAGATGTTGAAGACAATTTTTTAAAAGGACAGGATTATTAAAAGACTGAAAGTAGCACTGTATGGCTGTCTTATTGGTTGACTTTTATTTTATTTGGTTACAAATGAA